AAAGTAAAAGTAATTGAAAGATTAATTTGAGATGTTACCATATCACAGATGACATATATTATGTATCATTCATTACTGATGACATTTAATATATGTAACATATATTTGTCTGTTAGACCTATTGGTGGCTTATGAAGGGAGGATGCAGAACTGCACCCACCCCCCCCCCATACATTTTATTCAGGTATCATTAATGAATGGAATAATAACTTTCTTTAATCTAGCCTCACATTCTATTAAGTTCTGTTCCTGACTCTCCACCTGGCTGACGAGAACTTAAAGCAGCTCCTACTCCCATAGACTGCCAGGGCATTGTGGCCTCCCTCCCAGCAAAGAATACTGTTTCTTCCTCCCACTCTGTTCGTCTTCCGACGCTGTTTCTGCATGAATACGAGACCTCCACCATTCTCAGAAATGTCCTTCACACTGCTTCACACTGCCCAACAACAAGATTTAATCAAAAACTCCGAAGCAATTTTTTTTTAATGTTTAGAAAATGCCTTAGGGACTTTACATAAAATACAGCCCAAAATTGAAATATCGGTTTCAAATACAAGGGCTTGTTAAAAAACCTAATTTTTTGAAAATTGCAAAAGTTTAAAATTTTTTTGTAGTCTTCCTTCAACTAAAGTATTATAAAGATAGACATTTTTACCTTAATGAAATATGTTCCTTAAAGATACATTTTGAAATAGTCATTTACAATTATTTGAAAATTTTAGTACTTCTCATGAAATTTTGAATGAAAATATGAGTGAAAAAGTACATATTGTAGTACCCCTAGTGTTTGAACGCAACCCTCTCAAGGTTGAGAGGCATGAGCTGCCATTGGTTGAACCTCATTTTAGTAGACATGACAATTACACCAAATTTTTATTTCATGTTTCTGTATTAGACCTAAAACATTAGACCATATGTCATTAAAAACCCAATACCCTTATACCTAATGTATCAACACACTGCTTCTTCAGCAATTTAGAATAATTTTCGTTTTTTGAGTGCAGCTTTCCTAATCTTCTTTTATAAATAATATTAATAAAACATGTAGGTATACATTTGTAAAATATTGTGTATTTGTTGCATCATTAGTTATGAATTGTATAATTATTTCTACATATGTAATAAGAGTGAGTTAAAACTATTCTGTTCAAGCCAAGACTAAGTGATAAGAGCACCAGAAATTCAGATGGCTAGTAATTTTTTTCTTTAGAACTTTTGTTCTACATCTCAATACATTTTGATCATCTGGTATTCTGTTAATTCACTCTTATTTATGATCTTGAGAGCTTATAGATTTTGTTAAAATTACTTTTCCAATTTTGACTTTGACCTTCTTCAAACATTGATAACATTTTATGAATTTTAATATGTATAATTAATATAATCGTTTAGTATTTTTGGATTATTTTCCAACTGTATAAGATCTAGGCACCGTAACTCAGAGGGGGTGCGATAAAATAGTAATAAAATATAATAGAGGGCCACTATAAATTTTCAAACAGTTTTTTTAAAATTATGAAAACGAAAGGCAATTTTTATTTCTTGGCAGAAAAACTCATATTCTAGGGCTGTGGGATCCTTATAAAAAGAAGAAAAAAATGTAGGGTTGTAGAGCCCTTATGGAAAAGAAAAAAGAAGAAAAGAAGTTCCATATGTAGTAAATTACTTTCTCTAACACATTGTGGAGTTAGAATCCACGATCTGTGGTCTTTGATACCATAAAAATTGGTTTACGGCAAAACTTCAGTCCGTGTTCATCATTGGTGCCTAAAATATTCGTAAGATTTTTTCAAAATGAATACTCCCCGGTCGGTCTGGCCATCTCAATGACCTTTTCAAACTCCTGGAACGTTTTCAAAATTTTCTTAAAAATCGCACCAAATTTTTTCTTTAAATTTCTTGTAAAGCATAGTGCGAAATACACTTGTAAAGTTAGCATAGGTCAATTTTGACCGTTTCCTCCGAACTTTAAAAATTGTAAAACTGAAATTTTTCGGCGTCTTCCTACAACCATAATATTGAAGAGGAGGATTTTGTTCTTGAAATAAAATTGATTTTCCACAATCAGTTCTTCAATTACATTGGTCTAAAAACACTTTTCTGTAATAAGAACAAACACACTGTTTCTGGAAGATAATTACTCTCAATTCAGATCTAATTTCAGAATTTTTGTATCGAGCCTCAGTTTTCATGTGAGTCAGTTTTGTCAATGTGTGTCTTCCCATATGAACTCATTGGAAGATCATATAATATATACATCACAAAAGGACCCGCTCCAGTAACAACAAGATCCTAATATTACAGTAAAAATATAACAACATAAGTGTTAAAAAAAGTGTGAATAAAGTGGCTAAATTTTTTTCCGATTTCTTAGCTATTCTTTGCTCAAGAACGTTCTCTCTAACAGCAGTCGAACATCATTCCAATGCATGATAAAACCGCTTTTCTATCTGAGAAACGTTCTGATGAACCTGTCGGCATTAATCATTAACGCGCCTGAGCATTATCCGGAATAGAAGTCCATAAATAATCAATGAATAATTTAGTTAAGAAGACATGTTTTACATCCATAATGTATGAATCAATAATTCATGTTCAAATATTGCTATATTCTCTGCTTTGGTTGCATTAAAAAAGTTTTTACGACCACTTGGATGACAGCCATTGCCTCTTTTCAACACCAGTTCAACAAATTCACCGAGAAAATGTTTATTCAGCCATTAATTCTAATTCTGAGTTTTACAAATCCTCTTTTTATATTGGTTCACTGATCCTTGGGAACTTGCTCTCGCAATATACATGAATCTATTGTGAGTTTTTCATAGGTTTCAGAAGTTTGACGAGACCAATTTAATGTCAGTAAGAGGCAGGTAACGTTTTGGTCAACAAGAGTGTTAACGACACTTCTGTGTCCAGCAGTAATTCAATCCGAGCAAGGCCTTTTTCCCCAATAGCATTTTTTCTTCTCTGTATGTCCCACTCGTATAATTCTAGAAAGCTGCAGTGCGTGTGTACCAGAGCTGGCATACTCGAAGAGAATTGCAATTATGCTTTAGAAACTCCTCATATATTCCATTTGTTATTTCTCATATTGCATAAGGTAAGGAGCAGTTTTAAGTTCTCATACTATGTCTTCTTCAGTTGCTGCATGAACAGTCAGAACAAGGAAAAATTTTCCCATTGCGTAAAGCACTGCTTTCAGACTTATTGGCTAAACCTTATGAACATCCAGAACTCCATAAACGATTTGATATCATCACAAAAAACTATGTTCATTTTATTAGAATATATTTGAAAAAAACACTTCGTCATCAATAACACTCACTTCCTGGTACGGGGGAAAGAAAGATCCATCCTTTTAGTCCCGAAGCTGACAGAACAGATATAAGAATCGAATGCTAACCTTCTTATAGGCCTTCTCTTCTTCTCGTGGCAAACTGCTATCTGAGCTACTGCTCACATTGGGCAAGATTGCCCTGCAAGCCTTACTTCAAATCACAACGTTGGTGCACAAAATTGGCAAACTCAAGATTGAATTTTTCGCCGATACTGACTTTTTATTCTGTGAAGGAATCCATACCTAAACCTCTCTAAATTCCGTCTTTGTCGTTGAAACTTACCCGTCTTTTCGTTAAACTTACCGTCTTTGTCGTTGAAAAACTTACCCGCTTGTTGAAACCGTCTTTCGTTGAAACTTACCCGTCTTTGTCCGTTGGAAACTTACCCGTCTTGTCGTGAAACTTACCCGTTCTTGCTCGTTGAAACTTACCCTCTTTTGTCCGTTGAAACTACCCTCTGCGTTGAAACTTACCCGTTTTGTCGTTGAAACTTACCCGTCTTTGTCGTTGAAACTTACCCGTCTTTGTCGTTGAAACTTACCCAACCAGATGACGATGAAAAGCCTTGTCGTCAAACTGCAAGTACGTACATATGCACACAATATCCAGTACAAAAGATTCTCGGGTGATTTAAGCTTCCTACTAATCGTCCATTCCACAATTCGTTCGGAGATTTGTTTTGCATGGAGGACTTCCCAGAACGGGGCAGTAGCTTCTACCCACAGCTCTTTCGTGACTCGTCTGTGACTCTCGTTTCAAATTCTACATTATTAAAATAGTGGTGCTATAAAATACTTTCTCGCATTAGTTAGTTTTCTAACCATTTTAGTCTAGGCTAGCATTCCCTCTTCCAAGCATGCTACTTGTCGGTACCAAAACGAAATTTTGTTACATTTTTCTCAAGTTTTCGGTCCCCTAATAAGAGAATTGAAATACGTCTTCAAGGATATTTTAGAAGAGAAAAACGGTCGTATATGCAAATTTTCATCGGAAAATTTGGAGCCGGTTTTGAAAAAATGTCGTTTGACATTTTTTGTCCTGAAAAAGCGCAATTTTGAGCTCACTTTACGCAGAGAAGTTTTGAATTTTCGAGAAACATCATAAAGAATTTAAAACACCAGTGTTCACAAATGTAATAATGTAAAGTAAATGAATGTATTTTCAATATTAACGGTGTGACATAGAAGTACATTTGTGTAATTAAAAAACCAAAATGGCATTAATGCTATTTTATTAAAATAGTTTATTAGTGCATTTAGCACTAATATAAAAATGTACACAAATACAAAATAGTACAAATATTTTAAAGAAAAACATTTGAAGCCATTTTCGAGATAACCATTATTATTTAAAACTAAAATTTACACATTTTATGCAAAAGTTCGGGAAAACTACGTTTTTGAAAAATGGCGGGAGGTCGCTCAGGTGTTTTGATTTCATAGATTTTCGTTCATAGATTTTTCAAGGACCCAAA